AGCGCTAGTGAAGGATTACAGAATGTTATCAGTGGTTTTTGGAGCTGCGTCGTCGCCTTGCACTGCGATTTATATAAAAATTAAGAACGCAAAGGCCTTCTTACATAAATATGAAGAAGCGGCGCAAGCAATAGAGCGGAAGCACTATATGCATGATCATTTGCATAGCTTCCACAGCCACAGCGACGATTGCCATCGAGTAATACAGCAAGTCGACTTGATCCATAAGAAGGCACACTTCGAGTTAGGAGGATGGGCGTCGAACAAAATAGAGATCGTTAAGGACGACACCGAAGCGCGGAAGAGCTACCTAGAACAAATCGGAAGAAAACAAGACATCGAGCTGCCGCGATACATGACAACATTCTGCACTGAGGGGGAGCTGCATACTTTCATTGATGCAAAGGAGACGTCGTATGCAGCCGCAGTATATATGCCGAGTCTTGAACTGCAGGCAGCCTTGTTGGAAGCAAAACACATAGTCAATTCTAGACTAATAAAAAACCTAGCTTATAATTCGGAAGAGGAGGCGCTAACCCCAAATCACTTTCTCATTGGGCGATCCAGAGGAGCTGCACGCGTTGGGTATTTTCCTGATGCAAAGCTGGTGGGCAGAGAAGATTGGAAGACCGTCCAACGACTTTCTGATCACTTTTGGAGGAGATGGCTACGGGAGTACTTGCCCACGCTACTGCCCAGGAAAACGACAGAATGACGGGAAGGCAAGCAGCTGCAGCCAGGCGACGTGGTTCTTATCGTAGATCGCACACTACCACTATGCACTTGGCCGAGGGGAACAATCGAAACCACGTACCCCGGGCCCGACGGAAGAACCAGGATCGTGGACGTCGCAACCTAAGGTGGAGTGTTACGAAGACCATCGTCCAGGATCGTCATCTTGGTGCCTGCGAAGTCGCCGTGCAGGAATAACGGTGCTACGCACGAGGGGGAGAATGTTGGCGACTCATATATATAAATAGGAATAGATTATTATAAGTTAGTGTTAGTGACTATATATACAATATAAATTAAGTAGGTATGAGCTATAAGAAAAATAAGAATATTGTTGGTAGCTCATAAGTAGAAATTAAGTATAAATAAGTTAGATAAAAATATGTAAATAATTTAAGGGAAAAATATAGTTAAATAAATTAATAAAATGCTTCGCCGAATAAAAGGGTCGCGTAGCTCTCGTCGCGGTATACGCGCGCAGATGTCTGTAAGCGCAGCTCTCGTCGCGGTATACTGTCGGAGTACTTAAGCTCGGCGAGATTTACGCAAAATCCTCTTTTTCCTCCGCAACGAACTGGGACCCAAGAATAATCGGCGAAGCAAGAAACAAGAACAAGGCGCAGTTTCATTTCAAGACAACATCCTACAATTACGCACTAGCAGGGGTGCGTGGGTCGAGGCGGTGCCAGCGATACGTCGAACCGTCTTGACAAAACGTACGTAGTCAAACCCCACCGGTATTCAAAGCCGCGCCGAGGTTACTTTGGTTACTGCACGGGTGTTCTCAAACGAACAACTAAACGTCTAATCCCGTGCAGGCCCGAGTCTCTGAGGCGACGTCGGGATTGGCTAGAACAGTAGTACGTACGAAGTCAAACCCCACCGGTATTCAAAGCCGCACCGAGGTACTTTGGTTACTGCACGGGTGTTCTCAAACGAACATCTAAACGTATAATCCTGTGCAGGCCTGAGTCTCTGAGGTGTCGTGGGGGGTTGGCATCAACATTGAGAATGATTTATATTTTCCGGAAATTAAGTTCCAGAACTAGTTTCTGTTATGATTTCGAATCATTTTGTTTTATTACGAAAGAGATAAATCTACAAGTGCTTATAGTTTTAGTCCAGCCAGTCTCAACCCTCAAGTGGTGCGTTTGAGCCCTCGCTGAATACCATTACATTTTTTTTTCCATTGTCGCGGAATTAACACATTTTCATAATACCGGCAAATCGGCGTAAATAAGTAACAGAAGGCTGGAGATCTCTGGTTAATATATAGAGTTGCGGCGCATTAATTGAATTTAGTTAGAATCGTCGCCTTTTTTAATAATACTCTTAAAATGTATTTGCTAGAACAACATTCCATTCCTCCACCCGTATGTTTCTAGTTGAACCTAATAAAGATGTAAAGCATGTACATGAATAGAGACGTAACTCGTAAGTTATATGACAAGGCCCGCAGTAAAACAACCGAGGTTTACATTACGGCGAGAATCAGTCCAACTAGTACATCTCTAATTCAAATGTGTGCTTTAAGTTTTCATAGTTGGACATAAACTTGGATAGTCTTGGCTAAATATGATTTTGTTTGACTACACTTGTATAATGTAGGAGACTAGGACATTTTAAACTTAAAGTAATACTAATATCTTAATATATATAAATTACGTGTCACGTTGTTTGTCCGCTATGGACTCCTAAACTACCGATCCGATATCAATCAAATTTGCTCACCGTGTGTAGTTTGATCCAACTTAAAAGATAGGATAGCTTACATCTCAATTTATACCCGCATTATTATTTTATTGCAAAATATTTGTTGATTATTTAATAGTCACAATTCTAACAGATGGCGCTGTGTTGAAAGTACCAACGTTTCACATAAGCTACAATTTAATGGCATAACCACCAATGAAGCATGGTGGTCCCCATGACTGGTATTCTCCTACCATTTCCCTTGAATAGTTTACTACTATGTAATATAACAAAAACCTTAGCCACAGCAACGCTTGGCCGGTCTGCTAGTATAATATAAAATAAGCTTGAGAATATAACATAGTGATTGAGTGATACTTGCATAATGGTTGTAGAAAATTTTATAACTGTGGATTTATTTTGTAATATTTAGTAGTTAAAATATATATGACATACATATAATAATTTTAAGTGGTTATTACTACTAACAATGTCAATGAAATATAATAATTATATCGAGGGATACTAAAAATATAAATTGAAAAATATCTTGGCACCATTTCTACAAAGAATCGCTTCAATACAGCAAAGTAGATCGGTAGCGGTTTTGAAAATGTTAATATATTTTAGTGGTTTCCTTCAATTTAGGTAACTGAAATCCCGATGCGGTAAATGTAAATATCGAAGATGTACTTTTATGTGGGCGTTGAGAAAAGTAGTTTGGAAAACTCAGTATCGCATTTGTTTTAAACTGTAAGAAACTTGCATGCTACGAGTAGTTCAATTTTTATAGTACTTTCTGAACATGTATACGATGTGTTTGAACTTTATTATTTTATGGTAAATAATAATACTCTCTGGTTTTATATATTTTTTTAATTTTCTATTTTTGCAGTGACTCAATAATAATGCAATAGCAAACTTAAAACAATAATAAACTTGTACTATGTGTATATCTTTACGTTTTGAATTGTTCTATTTGTGTATGGTTTTTGAAACAAATCCCAAAGCAAGTATGAATGATAAAAAAATTAATTATTGAGCTAATTAGTTAATTTAGATACGCCGACATCCCATCACTCAACTTGTCCCTCCTTTCCGGAGAACGCGTTTTGGCCAAAACTCACCGATGTCCAGATTGACCATTCTGATAAACCAGCTAGGTCTGGATATCCATAGTTGCTCCCCTCACACTTTAAATCGATTTTCGTTTAGTTTTTATAGTTTTATTTATTTTTATTATCTCTTCGTGTATGTTATGTTTGCCTATAACAGAACCTACACGAAATGCTTGTCACATTATAAATTGTATTTTATTGCTCTTGTTCCAATGTATCAGTGTGCATTGGCAAGCTTATATAAACTAATATGGCAACCGTTTAAGTACGAAAAATATCACAACTTGAGTGTATGAAGTAATGAATCATGGGACAGATAAATTTCTCTGTCTGTTTCCTTGCCTATTCTTCTTTAACGGCAAAAAAGTCAGCCTTCCTTTCACATCTCAATTTGTATGTAGGACATGCTCGAATCTCACGATCCTTTCCTTCGATGTACGAACAAGTATTTATTGTGAACATAGAACTAAATATGCGCACAGTCATTCACGATCTCTGTATTGAAAATAAACTACTTGACTACTACGTTGACTAGCCGTGGTCATTTTATCACTATATTTAATAACATATAAAAAGTCTTAACAAACCTGACCAAGAAAGTTGTTTTTATATGATAAAGGATTGAAACCTAAGTAAAACTAGCTTACGTATTACAGATTTCTAAAGCGCGAATAAATATTTTTTATATGAAGATAATTACAACCATCTGCTAAAATGCAAGTGATGTCTCACAAAGCTCTTAATTGCCCCCACCTCCCCCTTCTTTATTCTTGTTACTGACACACTGCTTATTACAATGGAACCACCCATTCAATGATGTAAATTAAGTTAAAATAATTGATGAAAGGTGCAACTTAGGTACAAAATTCGAAAGACCGTATTCAGGTTTCCATTTTATTATAGTAAATATTTTTAATGTAGAACGGATGAATGAGAAGCGGTGAACAAGTAGGATATACAGGGCAATCCTGAATGGTGAAGTCGGGTTGAGTTTACCTTGTCCAGTCGTGGTACTTGCTGCACCCTTCCTCGCGTGGGGGGTGTTTAGGCCCGTTCGAAGCATATGCCCCCTTCGGGTGGTGTATTTGTTCGCGCCCTGCTAATACAGGGCGGTACGGGGGCGGTCTGTATAGCCCTTGATGGAGTTTACCTTGTCGTACATAACTGGATCAAATCCAAGACAAGTTAAAAGTACCCTTAACCGACGCGTAGTAGTGAATGTCATGAAAGTGCATAAAGTGAGAGAGGTATATCAGGACCGTAGTTAGTGGAGATCCATGGTCTCTGTCTACCCCTTTGGAAAAAGCCGTGAGGATATAAAAAAATACATATTTTAAATGTCTTCTTGTTAGTTCTAACAAACGGCTCAAGTGTACATAATATTGTATATATCACATATGTACAATATTTAGGCTTTTATACATATTTTTTGCATTAACAAAACCAGAAATAATAAAAATGATGTAAGATTTCTATCCTTAACCGTCTCTACTAACATTTAATTTACAATTTTATAGTTACGTCTAACATACACGAATTATTATTAGAACATATTCTTTCATTAAATACAGTAAAAAGGACCATTAAAGAAGACGCCAAAAATATCCAGTTATAATGGTTTCATCTTATGAAGGATTTTCAGTTAGGTGGATTTTGATTCGACTTGTCTTCTACAAGTCAGATTTATTATTTTCTAAGATAAAATGGTAGCTTATTGCCGACAAATTCTTAAAATGGTATTTTTTTTTTAATTTTGATATCTATTATTTTTAAGTTTCATTTAGTTTTCGAGTAATGGAGGTTTTGGCGCTTCAAGGGCAGGGAACACAGTGTGGGCATTGGCAACACTGCGCGGGAGACGCTTCACGCTAGTTATTATCGAGCTTCGTTGCCGGCAGGGCGTACGATCGTACCTACGCCACGTATCGCGACACAAGCCAACAATAATAGTTAAACGATACATTGTATTAATTTGAGACGTTGTGACCTCTGTTGTCGGTATGAAGTTTGATTGATTACCATCTTTTGTACTGGCTTTGTCTGCATTCGTACTAGAATTACCTAGCTGTCTATCTTCAGGCCTGTCCCTGGTGGCGTTGAGCAGCTGCTGATGAAGCTTCCGCTCGTACACGGAGAAGAAGGCCCGCGAGCAAAAACGGCGGAACAAGACGCTGGAGTCGCGGCGCGCACTCGCCAACGTACGGGTCGTCCAAAACAACCTCGTGTTTGTAGTCGGTTTACCTGTGCGGCTCGCGGACCCCGAGATCCTCAAACGGCAAGAGTACTTTGGCAAATATGGGAAAATTCACAAAGTAGTTATAAATCAAAGTCCAGCATATGCGGGGTCACAGAGTCCGTCGGCGTCGGCGTACGTGACGTACGTGTTGTCGGCCGACGCGTTGCGGGCGATCCAGGGCGTCAACAACGTGACACTGGACGGGCGCGTGCTCAAGGGCTCGCTCGGCACCACCAAGTACTGCGCTAACTTCATGAAGAACATATTGACTGAAGAGGAGCCTATCAATAACACCACTGCAGTTCCCAGTATGCCCCCTGCAAAGAAGCCTGATTATGTAACTCGTTCAGGCAGAAGAGTTCGATTTCCGCGCCACTTTTACGACCTATAGGTCTCCGGGGGGGCTGATGTGGGGATTGGCAACACTGCGCGGGAGACGCTTCACGCTAGTTATTATCGAGCTTCGTTGCCGGCAGGGCGTACGATCGTACCTACGCCACGTATCGCGACACAAGCCAACAATAATAGTTAAACGATACATTGTATTAATTTATTAAGTGCAGTGAATATACATGTGTGTTTAAATATATGGGGTTTCATTTATACCAACTCTACGCCCCCATAACAGTTTGAAGTTTTCGACTTATCGAGGTTCGAATTAAAGAGGTTCTACGTATTAATGAAATGATTGAAGATGCATCAGATATATAATGAATATACATATATGTTGGAGCCATGAGGCTGGTAGGTATTAGTTGCCATTGACATTATAATCTAATAACATCAAAGTCAAATTAGTTCAAAAGTACTTTATTTGAATATTAATAGATTTACACGGTTTACAACCGAGGAACTAAGACAGCGATTGAGACGAGTCGAGTCCTTGTCTCCACCACACCAAGGGCTATACGCCCGCTCCAGTGCCGTTCCTGCATCAGCAGGCCGCGAACAATCACACCGCCAGCGGGGGCTCTACCCGAACTAGCCAATATCCGCCCCAGTAGAGGAGCGGATAAACATGAGCAATGAATTGCTCACAGTTCGATTGAGCGGTCGACCCAAGCAGAAGCCTTTAAAAGTAGACTCTAATGTCGAAATTAAATGGCCTAAATTAAGTCAGCATCAGATGACGTAATTCCTTGTTCTTGTCACTACCAACTCCGTCATATATAATATATTTTGTATAAAAACTACTAATACAGAAAAAACGTGAGTGCGAGGATAAAGCACGGTGTAATAAAACCGTGTTTCTATAAAGAAGGGCAAGTAAGTGTCTGACAATTTGATTGAAACAAACACATAACATCTGGCTGGAGGCCTAACAATGCCAAGTGCGATACTTCCATTATAGCAAAATTACAAATCGCCATTGTGTTTAGATAGCGTTGGCGATACGTTTCAAACATATATAATATAGCTTTATTAATAATATTTTAACTTAACGTACATAGTAATAATATATTAAAATTATAAATAGAAAACAAAATAATTGATTAGTGCAGCATTTCCTCGTTGTATTGCGTTACTTATTCGTTGAGCGAAGACGGCATCAGCTCTGGGGTCACCGTCACTATATACTCTTGTTCATTAGTTACTGGCATGTTTGTTTAGCTTTCAGAACATTTAGTACCAGTCTATGTGCACATTTCAATATTTTATCCATATAACTTGCTTTTGTATTTTCCTACAAATAAGTCACAAAACTGGTAACAAAATAATGCTACCGTATGAAAGTTAAAATATAACATAAGTTATTTGTTAATATTTAAGATATTGTGTAGATTATAGGAATGCAGACGGCATGGACAAAGATATGGAAAAATGAGATTTAAAGAAATATGGATTTTGTAATACTTTTTTACTTCTATTTTTAACACAAGTAAAAACTGCAGTTTATTTAAGCTTTCAGGTGAGAATCTAAGCGTCTGGTCTAGAAAACACACGTCCGGTAGACTGCTACAGGAAATTAAAACAGGCTTTTTAAAATGCCTGTGTATTTACGCTTTGTGTTGTGGTATAAACTGAGCAAAGCTTTATTCAGTGAAAAATAAAACTTAATGTTAAATTCTTAACTTATACTTTTTATTATTACTATGTAGGTTAAGAAATTAAAATGTGTTTATACTGTATATTCGATTGTAATTATTAAGTTCATTATGTATATTTTTAAAAAATTCCGTTTACATTGTGTAAATAGTATTAAACGTAAGAATGATGCGCGGTTTGTGTCTTAGTAAAAATGTAGGAGTCAAGTTCACTTACATATATATATTAATACTAGCTGACCCGGCAAACGTCGTTTTGCCATGTATATCATTTATAATAAAAAATAGGGGTTGATCGTAGAGGGGTGAAAATGTATGGAAGGGTTGTATTATATTTGTAAACCATCGCGAGGAAATCAGCTTGCCTTAGCTCCAAAAAGTCAGCGTGTGTCAAGCACAGGATCACCTACTTGCCTATTAGATTCACTAATGATCATGAAACAGATACTTACAGAAGTCTGAGGCCTAAAAAGGTTAATTTTCTATCCAACGAGGAAATACATCTGCTAAAAATCTACGGCTATTTCGATTAACTATGGCACGAGAATGAAGAGTTATACTTAAGATTGTCTTCATAAAAACCTTTGTTATATAAATATTACAAGTTTTAATTATTTTCTTGAATGAAGTTCATTTCCATTTCCGCTACAATTCACGATATTTTTTTTAATATGATGAGATTAGTGTATTAAAACGTAATGTAATAACGATTTGATAAGGACATAATGTAAACTACAAGGTAGACATTTTATTTGTATCAAGTACATACTTGATATATTATAACAGTAAAATGTTTAGTAGTATTAAATCATTTTGAAAACAAAATTACAAAGTTCTTATAAATCCTCTTGTTTTTTATTATATTTAATACACAAAAAGAGAACAAATTCAGTGTTAAAACTAATTTAGTTTAATAATTTGAAAGAAATTATTAAATTGTGTATATGTTGTAAAAAAAGATAGATCAGTGAATTAAAAACTATGCAGTTGAATAATTTTTCATGAATAAGGATTATTAGGAGAATATATATAATATTCTATTAGTCTAAAGAAAAAAGAAATGATTCAGGTCTAGAATGAAACCATAATAAGTAGGAATTTGTTGTTAAACTAATTAATTAGTAAAATAAATGTAAATAAATATTTAAAAACATTATTATTCTATACTCCAAAGCATTGATAATGGGTCCGTGTTGTTTGTAATATAATAAAGCTTTTAAACTAAAAGAATTAAGTAGGCGGACTCTACTACGCATGCGCGGCCGACGGAGAGATGTTTTCCTGTCATTTGTCAGTAATAAAGAATTAAAGAATACAAAATTTCCTATACAAAACATTAGAAAGGGTTTGAATAAATCTACACTTTACACTTACGTTAAAACAAATCATTAAAAGTGATGTCTATTGAAAATTTTAAAATTATGACAAACACCAACAATTTTCTGTATTACGTTTACTATTATTATTTTTAATGTTTATAATTATATTTAAAGGGAAGTTATAAAGTAAATTTATTTACATTATAATATTAAATTAGGTACCTACTTTTCCTTCCATATAATTTTTTATTGATGTTTTTACACCAATATCAAAAACAACAAATACAGATTCATTCGAACAGCTGATTCTACACCCCTTGCGCAATTTACCTATAAACTGAAGACCCGTGATTTCATAAGTTTTATAAGACATCTAAGACCTAATTAATATATATTTTATTACGGTAGGTACCTACCTAGTAATTTATAAGGAAATTTTTTGGTAGGTACTTAATATGATCACGCATTATTAAAACTAGGCAGATATAGTTTTTCGTGTTATCCATATAATTTTATCTGTTGAAAATTTTTTCAATACCCTATTTATATGGTATTTTTTTGTAGTAGGTAAAAACTAAGTACTTTTTATATTAAACGTCTATTTTAATACTATTTTTGTCCCAAACGAGTTAAGATACCATAGTGATATATATCTGATACTAAACCGATTCTGTTTCCTACAAAATCATAGACTAAAAATATCCTAAACAGATCCCAATGGGACGAGATAAATTTATATTGTCGCATAACTACCAATAAATATGCTAATTCAACACTATAACGTCCGTATGTCGCTTTAACATTGAACGAGTGAAAAAGATATCACAAAATTGCAATACAGACTGTAGACGCGAACAGACAAAATCTCACTCTGTTTCTTTTTGTGGAAAGTCGTATATTTTTTCCTCGAAACAAAAGTTACGATCTTCTGACTTTGCTTGCCAGTTTTATCGACCTAGGCAACTACTAACCCAATAAATTTCGGTGTTTCGCTCAGTGAAAGAATGCATCGTCCCAGATACGAATGTGCGGGATCTGACCGCACCGATTTATGCCCCGGATTATGAGTTACCAAACAGTATTTGTCCGCTCTGAGTAAGCGTTTCTAAGGACTTAAAACGACTCGACAATTGCTTACAAATTTACTAGGAACATAATAAATACATCATTTTGAAACATTAAAACAAAATCAATATTTAATTGATGGCCATACCTTAATTAACATGTTTACTGTGGCGGCCAAGAGCTCCGATAAAAGAAGCCATCCGCTAACGTGTTCTCCGTTCCATTTAGCAATAGTATCAAATATATAGATATCACGCTCACTCATGTGCATACACAGTTTGTGTGAAGAGAACTACCGATTTTTTTTTGAAAAGGTTACATCGGATCTCATAAAACTTAATAAAAAGATCACATCACAAAAGTCTGTCTAAACTAAGCTCGTTAGAGATTTTTGGAAAAAGGTATACCGTTTTTTCAGTATCGTTACGTTTGTCTGTTCGAATAGGACGACTGGTGGTTTTCTACTAATTTTTTATAAAGTTTTTAGTTGCTCAAATGCAATTGTGCATGGAGAAAGTTGTAAAAATGTATTGAGCAATATCGGTCCCTTGTGCGAGAGAAAGTCGCGGTTGTTAGATAAAAAAGTCTTTTGTATTGGAGACCAGAGTCAAGGGCTTGGTGTTTTTTAGTTTTGGATATAGCATCTGCTTGATTACTTGTGTTGTTAGTGAATATAAGTGTAAAGGAATAATTAAAAAATATTGGTACGTACCTATATATTAATTTAAACTATAAAGTATCTTTATATCGGTACTGATTCTGATGACTAACAGATTACTTTTTGTCTCTTTCTAAATTAAATAGGAAAATAGAGAAGTCATTATCTAAAGCGATTAATAAGTATTAAGAACAAAGTACAAGTAGGTGCTACGGCGCGTAGACCGTAGACAGGTTACAGTAAACGTTCATATATAAACTGGTAATTAAGCAAGAAGTTTTGACTGGCGTTTTCTGCCGGTATC